GTTACATTTGGAATCGTCTTCGTTTCCTGAAGGTTGTGTTTGCTTTTTCTCTAGCTGTCCCAGGAGTGCGTTTACAAGTTCGATCCCGATGGAAGGATTTTCCCAGCTCCAACTATCACCCGAGTATGCCACTGGTTTCTGGCGAAACACCACACGCCGAGGCTGGGAGGCTGCCTGCCAGTCGAGCCCAGGGACGAAAGCACGCCTGTCTCCGCTGCGACACTTGGGGTGGGACACGGGTGTGCACAGGGCTGCGACGTGCTCTGTGCTCCGGGTAGGCGTCTCATGCTGTCTCCCCTTTCTGGAAGCTTCCCTGCCACCCTGTGCTTCCACACGTCCCAACATGCCCCTCCTCCCGCTCAGGACCTTCCTCACTCTCCCCGGCACATGTCCGAGGGATGCGTCTCTCTGCGATCCTGGCCACACGCTGGTCCAAATAGACCACTGCGGCCCAAATGAATGCAAGCCCGGCAGCCGTCCTGGCAGGGGTGGCCCATCTACCAGCTCTGGGGCAGAGGTTTTTAACTGCCAGAGAGCATGTGCCCTCGCCAGAGAGACAAAGAGACAGGGAGAGGGAGAAAGCACCGCCCGACAGGAGGTGGTCACATCGCACTTCCCTCGCCCCCATTTCTCCATCCTGGCAGGATTTGGGGCGTGCACACACATGCACCTGGTGTTTTCTGAGCCATCGGGGCTAGGATTCCCACCATGGTTAGCCATGGGGGTCTGGCTCCCTTAACCACTAGGCCTGGGCCAGCCCTCTGGTAAAATTTCTGTCTCCGAGAAAGCAGATTTCCATATTTCATTTCCTATACCTCACCCGTTCTGCATGTCACCCATAACCTCCACGTTATCAACTCCATCAAAAAGCCGAACGCACCTGTGGCTATTCACACGCCGCGGGGTCCCAGGCACAGCGAGAACGTGCACGGGAAGACAGAGACCTGGGAAGACCCCCCGGCAGCCGACACACAGGCCTGACCCTGCAGCAGGACCGCAGTGTGCCGGGGAGGGGAAACAGGTAGGCCTGGCCGTGCCCCGCTGCAGAAATCTAGCCAGCAAGTCCACACAGCGACTCAGCAGGGGCTGCGGGGCCCGGGGGCGCCCTCCAGGCTGAGGCTCCCCTTGCCAACGAGGCTCAGAAAGGGTTGGCACTGAGCCAGCATCTATCGAGTGTCCATTCCGTCCCGGGCCCCTTGGCAACGCTGTCACTGTCTGAATTGCTTTTCAAAGGGTTAACTGAGTCACCAACTTACTTCACTTGCGCAGCCCGACCCCTGACCAAAGCATGGCGTTTCCCAAATGACTAGGGGTTATAACCACAGCGACGCACGCTGGCCCGTCAGGCGGAGCGGCCCACACGTGTCTGGTGAGGAGGCATGTCATGCTCCCCACTGTCGGCCAAGCCTTGGCGCTAGCGATGGCTCACGAAGGACCGCGAATCCGCAGCCTGGGCCCCTCTATGGAGCTCCAGCCTCCCAGGGGCCGCTCGCCATGCTCCACGTAGCAGGAATCAGGGGACTTCCCGATCAAAGTCCCACCAAACCATCAGGTGACTGGGCCTTCCTCGCCGCAGGGGCAGCAGACGGCCAGAAGGCGGAGGGGCCTATGAGGGCAGACTCCCTGACATGCGTGAGCCGCCCGTGTTTAGCTGAGGCTGGTCCACGCACCTAAGCCCCTTCCCCTTGGAATTGTAACCCCCTTTGTCTCTTTCCTAAAATTCCTTTCTATAAAATCAAATAATTGACTAGTGAGACCACGACAGAGAAACAAGGGATTCCCTGGCACCTCAACCAGAGGGGCCCGTGGGCCGCAGAGGGCAAGTGCCTGCATGAGGCCGAGCTGTGACCGTCAGAGTGGGCCACGCGACACTTCACCTTGTCTCCTAGCTGGCCCTCGATAGGCACGTATCTGTGGGCCCAGAGTCTCCTCTGGGAACACGCGTGTAATGGTGGCACCAGGGCGGAGAGCCCGCCCCACGGCCCTGCCGTCCCTCGGTACTTGGGCTGGGGAACGTTCTAGCTCTCTCTTCAGCTCGCAAGGGGCCGTGCTGACTGAGGCTCCCCCAGTGCCCCTGGGCATGCCTCCCTCCCACCCACGGGCCATGCTGGGCCCAGCCACCAGCCCCCCGGCCCCCCGCCGGCCTCTGGAGTCACCCCCACCCCTGTGACCGCGCCTCCGTTTC